TATAGAGAGAGAGAGAGAGAGAGACACAGAGAGACAGAGAGACAGAGAGAGACAGAGAGACAGAGAGAGAGAGACAGAGAGAGAGAGAGATTAATTAAAAATTTAGGGAATATAAGGTCTATGCACGCAGGTGGACATGAAAATTTATGCATCAGTCCTACAAGAGTGATTTCATTCTATGCATACACACACACACACGCGCACACACACACATTTTTTTTTTTTTTTGCAAAAAAGAAAAAGCCTAAAACAGTCATAACCCAAACATACCAATCAATAAATCTCTTCACTTTCCATACAGGTTCAGCCTGGAAGAGATTCAAGGCCCAAGAAATCATAAACTGTTTTACCTGTTGTCCTATCTAATAAAACCTCTCCCCCTGGAAATGGCTTTCCCATGACAAAGCCTCTGCTCCCTTCCCACCTCTCGTCACCCGAGGGGGACCTTGTGGACCCACAGCCTTGGTCCCCGGGTCGGGCGCAGGGGTCCTGCCCCATCTGTCCTGCCGCAGGAGAGCAGACAGGTTCCGGTGATATCCGAATTCCCCAGCAGGGGCGTCCTAGAGGACCCAGGCCACGGCCTGGGAAGGGATCGGGCCGAGTTTCTCTGATTGAAAAGCGCCGCCCAGCAGCCACCCCAGTAAGCACAGCCGGTGGTAACCGGGCCTCAGCTGCCCAGCTGGAGGGACCAGGGGGACAGCAGCGGCACGGAACTTTCCTTATAAACGAAGCAGTGTTTATACTAATGATGATGCATTTTATTTGCTTTAAAATGCCTGTTACTCTAGGACTGGGAAGTAGTGATACAGATTTGTTGTGTGAGTTTCCCGGAGGGGCATAAAAAATACAAGTGCCTCCTCACGGGAGAGGCTGACAGGCCAAAGATCAGCTTGGGAGTAAACGAGTGTGTTAGGGTTTTTTTACCGGGGGGTGCACGACTTAGGGGCCGCAGCCCCATCAAAGGTGTCAATTTTCTTTTGCTAAACTACTGGGGTATTTCTTTGCTTGCTTCCTTGCTTTTAGAGGCAGGGTCTCGCTATGTAGCTTGGGCTGGCCTTGAACTCACGATATAGCTCAGGCTGGCCTTAGCCTGCAGTGATCCTCCTGCCTCAGCCTCCCAAGTGCTGGGATTGCAGGTGTCAGCCATCACGTCCTGCTGAGCTGCTGCTTTGCTAGAGAACTGATGAAAACGGCACGCAGCACTCCCGTCCTTCGGCCCCGAAACTGAGCCGCAGCAGGTTCCTCACCTGAAAAGAGGCACAGTGGCGCCGGCTCGGCCCTTCATCCTGAGGAGGATCCAGCGGGGATCCCGGGTCTGGCCGCGACCTGTCCCCTGTTCGTGGGGCCCTGCGGTGCCACCGACTGTCACCCACGCACCCAGCCCCGTCCTGCGCGCCTCAGGGTCCCGGGCCTGGGCTGCTTGTGCTCCTCCAAGCAGCGACCTCAGGATCTCAGCCAGGACGGGCGGGCTGGACGTCAGGCGGGCGCGGACAGGGTGTGCCTGGGCCGGCCTCAGCGAAAGGAGCGCGACTGGGAAAAGCCCACTAAATTCACACGAGGCTCGGCTCACTCTCAAGCCTTAGCTTACGTTTATTTACACTCCTACTCCTGCGCAAACGAGAAAGGGACACGGGGCCCTGTTTTCCAGGGACGGGCAGAGCGAGGGGACTTGAAAACCGTGGGTGTCGAGAACGCCGCGGGGCCGGGGTGGGCAGGGGCGCGG